TATATACACAGATGGGAGGGGGGTATGTATATACAGATACACTGGAACACACGCATAGCTACAGACGATACAATGTAACAGATAAACTTTCACCAATGTGACTTACTGCTCCGCCCCCTTCAAAGCTTCTCCGTCAGCCAGCACACCATGTGACCAGGAGGGCGGAGCCCAGCAGGTGTGTTACTATGGCAGTAACTGCTCTCTAGAGTTTTCCTTATCTTCTCTCTCTCTCCACCGATCTGTCATTTCCTTACCTGACTATTTCTACCACAGCTCCTTTATATCCCCGGAACCCTTCTGCATTTATCCTGCTTCCGTGTTCCAAGCCTCGTTCTCGTACGCTCTACTTCCGTTCCCCAAATCTCGTTCGTGTACGCTCTGCTTCCGTGTTCCAAGCCTCTTTCTCGTACGGTTTACTTCCGTGTTCTAGCCTCGTTCTCGTACGCTCTACTTCCGTGTTCTAAGCCTCGTTCTCGTACGCTCTACTTCTGTATTTCAAGCCTTGTTCTCGTTGGCTCTGCTTCTGAGTTTCAAGCCTCGTTCTCGTTGGCTCTACCTTTATACATCCCAAGCTTATTTGTGCCGTGTTTGCGTTTCAGGCCTCCTTCTTGCTGCTTCCAAGCTGGAAGATAACAGTAATCATAAAGTGGATGGGGGCGGGGGAATGGCTGCTGGATATTACAGATTGGGATACTTTATAGGGGCGGATTACAAAAACCAAATTGTAAGGTTCCCAGTATAGAAGGGCTGAAGTGTGAGCTCAGGATCCTCTAGTCAGAGGCCCCCCTCTGTGCTGGAAGAAGCATTTTCTTATCTATGTTATCGGTGTAGATATATTGTCCTCTGAACTTCTGCTACAGACTGAAATGAACCATGTATGCCTAATGCAGTCACAAATCCCAGAGTACCACCTCTGATAGAACCTTATAGGAGGGCTGAGGTTTGTAGCTCTACAAAAAAAAAGTTCAATGAAGATAGAGCATAAAGAAGTTTGTATTGGGGTTGAAGTGTGTGCAGGAGCATAATTCAATTTATCATTATATAACATGTTATTATTATTCGTACTATAACTGCTCCCTAGTAGTGTACTGACTATGCTGACAGCTCTCCTGCTGCCTGTCCTTGATACATACGTCATGTTAAAGGAGAACTATGGGGTCAGTGTTTTTCCCCATAGTTCTCCTTAGGGTAACGGGGGTACACAAACTAGCGTCCTCCCGTCACCCTAAGCTCAGTATACCGCGAGCTACTGCTCGCGGTATACTGGGACGCCGCAGCTGAAGCGAAACCCGACAATTATGTTGGGATCCGCCCAGCTGCGTGAGTGACAACTGGCTCTGCCTATTTAGAGGCAGAGCCAGCTGTACCCGCCCCCTCCCCCGTCCGATCCGCCAGTCAGCGCTGGCGGGGAGAGGGGAATCCAGCCCCTCCCCTGTCACGGCAGAGAGCCGTGACAGGATCGAGAGCTGAGCGAACGCCGGTATGTGTTCGCTCACTTCTCGGTCTACTGAGCCGACCTGTGACAGTCTCATTGTCACAGGTCGGCTAGAACTATGAGGTGAGTGAAAAGCACTCACCTCATAATTCTCCTTTAAGATCAATGACACAAATTGTCACAGTTGACACTGCAAGCCGCCACAGAGAGATTTAGGCAGGGGGTCCTAAAGTGTTGCTGTGGGACTCCATGATTTGTATTTGCTCCCCCTTATTCTGACCTGTTGTCTGTGGAACACAAAGTGGTAATTCTATGTGTAATCATTCATTCCTTCACTCTTATTGAGGAAGGAGATAATGGTGCTGGTTGCTACAGGCAACACAGACACAAACCAGGCCTCCCTCATCAGGGGACCAATGCATAAACTCCAGAAGGAAATCCTTGCAGCCCGTAGAAATCAAACAAATCTTCCATAAAAGGGCAATTTAATTAATTGCTAGAGGTAATTCAAATTGTTCTCCCGCCATGGTCTCTGAGTATGAATGCCATATTGTCTTTGTTGCCCTAACCAACAATCAGATTCTCATTCTTACTGTCGCTTGCTGCCCTGGAAACAGAAAAGGTGGAATCTGATTGGTTGTCATGGATAAGACAAGTACATAAAGAGACTTCAGGACTGTTGGTGAAGGGAATCTTTTGGACAGTCTGTGATGCCCAATCATATTCTCCCCTCCTTCAAGCTGTCTAGTATTTGGTTCGGTCTAAGTCAGGGGTAGCCAAACTCCGGCCCTCCAGCTGTGGTGAAACTACAAATCACATGATGCATCATTCTCCGGGAGTCGTGGCTGTGAGAATCTTGCAATGCCTCATGGGATGTGTAGTTCCACCACAGCTGGAGGGCCGGAGTTTGGCTACCCCTGGTCTAAGTGTTTTCTTTAGAAATAAGTTTACATTAAAGTGTATGTCAGGGTAAAAAAAACCACTAAGCCCTCGTTCACACCTGAACGTTTTGTAGCGCGTTCTACGCTCGACGAACGCTCTACAAAACGCTCACAAATATAAATCCCATTGTATTCAATGGTCTCGTTCCCACCTTGGCGTATTTCCGCCCGTCCCTAACGCGCTACAAAACGGCCCAGGCCTGAAAAGGTACAGGTACTACTTTGGGCCGTTTTGTTGCGCGTTTCCATTGGGATACAGCCAAGTAGCCTTCGGAAACGGGCGTTTGTCGCGTGACTTTTTTACCGCGAATCGCGGTAAAAAAAACGCGTGACGGTCGCGCGACAGATGCGCATATGCAATAGCATATCATCCATAGCATCTTTGTGGACACAGAGTGGTGTCAGCCCTGCCCAGTCTTCATTTGCTAAACTACTCAAACCCTCCCCCCTATCCTATTCTCCACAACCTAGAAACAAATCATTTTATAGTGCCAAGATAAGAACTAGGAGGACTAATGAGACTCCTTGAGATAACACATGAAAGGTTCCGTTCACACAGCTAACACACCATGATAAGGATACTTATTTATTTATTTATTTATTTTTAATGTCATTATTCTCAGTGATGAGATTGGAAAACCGAAGTCATATATCTAAAATAAGAATTCTTATGTCGGAGTAAAAGCTTTGTGAATTGAGCCTGAAGAGTACACACAGGGCAGCTCAGAATTTCTGGCATGATATTTGATATTTTATGCGCTCATCAAACGGATAAAACAAAATGCTTCCACTTGTGTATTTATCAGGGAAGAGTCATTTGCAGTTGTAGTAAATGTAGTGGTGCTGAAACGGCTCTCATGACAGTCACAGCAATTCTATTTAGCTGAACACAAATGTGCCGTCCTGTCCTGGGGTTGATGTCGCTATTTTGGCCATCACACAGACATGTCTTCTGGATATAAAGGTGCCTCTAATGGACCCTCTAATGGAGTATTGTTACCTGCATTCTCTGCTCCCCACTAACCAGACTAGATTGGGGGTTACCAGTTCTCTCTACTCTGTATCCCAGACCAGATAGTGGTAAAGTTGATCAGCAGGTGGCGCCACAACTCTCAGCAGAGGTGCTTTAAAGGAGAACTCCAGGCAAATTTCTAAATACACAGATACAATGCTAATATATGGAATAGGGATCTACCGATTATAGGGGCCGATATATTCAAATTTTTTTAAATTATCGGTAAAATTACTGATAATAAACACTGTGCAAATTTCACAGAGCGACATTCGCACGGTGGATAGCGCTGTCTGGCAGGCATCCCTTGATCATCTGATCAAAGGAGCTGGTCAGTAAATCTACCTAGGAATGGAGTCGGCAGCCTTAGAGCTGCCAACTCTGTTCGGGTATTCTGACATCGGCTGCCCGGCACTTGTCAGAATACAGGGGGGGAAAAAAAACAGCAGATAGCAGGGGAAGCAATAATGATGCCTGCTATTGGCTATTTCAAATTGCAATAGCCAATAGCAGGCTGGCTATTGCACCTGCCCACTGCCTGCTGTCAATCAGCACAGGAAGACCTGAAGGAGAACTTTCTCCTTCAGGTCCCCTCCTCTGCTGATTGACAGCAGGCAGTGGGCGGGTTAATTAGCCCGCCTGCTATTGGCTATTGCAATTCTTAGTAGCTAATAGCAGGCTGGTTAATGCACTGGTCTGAGACTCAGCAACCTGCTGAGGACGAGAGGTGCTGTACTATACAATGACAGCTGCCACCACCTGCAGTATGTTTGATTGTATGCGAACAGCCTGCAAACAGCTGCTGGCAATGGCAGCTGTCATTGTATAGTACAGCACCTCCCAACCCGCAGCAGATTGGAATGGGTGAGACTCAAGTAATCAGCCCCATTCACAAGTTTGAATGGGGCTTTACCTGTCAAATTATTTGTTTTCCTATCCATCTAGTTCTGAGATTTACAAGGCCACATCACACAGCACAGCTGACAAGTCACCTGAGTTTTCTCTGCTATTAAGTAACATTTACAGGTCTTGCGCCTCCCCCAGCCCGTGACTGGACAGTGAAAAGAGAATCAGCAGACTGATAAACTCATCTCTCGCCTCCTATCAGCATGTTCTTTGTTATCACATGGGCACTGCAACACAACTGTCTCCTTGTGCTGCTTCTCCCTCTCCCAGTCTGAGCTCTGCTTTACAGGGACTTCAAAAGGCTGATACCAAGTCAAAAACAGTTCATTTTCTATTACAGGTATTTATATAGCAGCATAAAGTCGTGCAGCGCTTTTACATACTCTACATTCACAACAGTCCGGTCCCTATCAGAACTACGGTTCCTATCTCGCAAGTATACATACAGACACACACATACTAGGGCTGCTTTAGACAGGAGCCAGTTACCATACCAACATATCCTTGGAGTGTGGGAGGAAACGCATGTAAGTCCCAAGCATTTGTCCCGCACGGTGCTGCAAGGCAGAAGCGCTAGCCGCTGGGCCACTTGTACTATTTGAATAAAACAATACTGTACACTCATTGGTTTATTGACCGCTTGCATCCCCAGTACTGTTATAAAGCGGTGCTGGGACTGATTGCAGCCAGAAATAGATTACTATTAGACGTGACCTGCTGCTGTATGGGGGGGTCTGATCAGATCTCTACTGACCAGACCCAGACCACCCTGAAGAAGAAAAATTGTAATATATCATTGTAAAGGTATATAATATTATATGTATCTATTTTGTTATACAGTGTGTGTGTGTGTATATGTATATATATATATATATATATATATAGTGCAATATAAATGGAATATATATATCATATACGTGTTTCCCCCGAAAATAAGACACTGTCTTATATTTTTTTGGGCTAAAAAAAACACACTAGGTCTTATTTTCGGGGTAGGTCTTATTTTTTTTTAATGTACAACAATCCACACTTATTCATGTACAAAAATATGGTGATCAGGGCAATCAGGGGTGCCGTACCTTTGCAAGAGCAATTTGCTAACCAATCGCTGGCCAGAATGAGCAAAGCGCGCTTTCACAATTGATTCCTCACAGGCGGAGTGTATTTGGTGTCACTCCGCCTGTCACAGGAGGCGGCGCTATAGAGGAGGTATCGGCTTATGCGGCTCTGCTCCCTCCGGTGCCGCCTCGCTTCCTCTAGCGCTGGCTTCATTGGCACTGCTGATTCTCTCCTGCCTCTCTTCAAGTTCCCCCTTATGCCACCACCAGCCCTGGGAATGGTCACAACTAGGTCTTATGTTCGGGGAAACAGGGTGTATATATAATATTTATATGAATAATATCTAGAAATAGTTACTTCATGCATGTCTATGAGACTGTCATCCTTCTGCAGCAGTCTATTGATCATCAGTAGAACACATCTGTGCCTGGCCTGAGGTACACTTTGTTTTCATGTCTTTCTGTCTGGCATGTTTCCTTGATGGCTTCTAAGGACAGCAGAGCTGATAGCAGCAGAAAAGGTGTCATAATAAGCCTCTTACCACTAATCCCATAATACATCTCTTATCCTTGGCAAGACTGTACAAAACTCTGCCACACTCCTTTTTAGTGAGCATTAGAATGAAGTCTGTTATGAAAAGTTTCATTAATAGGGAATTAGAGGTAATTATGATTTTGATATAATTGGAATTATTTTTAGTACAAGTTTCAGTACAAGTGGTGGATTTTTCACATGTTTAACAGCCCTTTGATGTAATGTAGCTTTGCTTGAGGTTTAAAGGTCCCCTAATACAGGTACAGGAACCAAACCATCCCATAGAGGTTCCTTCACACCTGATGATTCCATGCAGTTTGCTGAATGTCTGTGGGCCTGTTTTTTTTTTCAGAACAATGGGTTGTAGTCCACAATTTATGATCAAAGGCACCACGCACTGATGTCAGTATAGCCACTTTATTAAAAGGTGATCAAGTAACACTCCCTGCATGGGTCCATAATTCTAACGCATTTCACTCCAACAGAAGGGACTAAATAGTAGATATGATTAAGCCCCTGCTTTTGGGTGAAACATATTAGCCATTTAGCCAAAAGAGCATTTGTGAGGTCAGGTGCTAAACAAGAGGACCTGACTCGCTATCTTTCCAGTTCATCTGAAAGGAGTTCAGTAGGGTTGCCAAGGCTTTGTGCAGGCCAAATCCGCCAAACCATGTCTTCATTAGGGTTGCCACCTGTCCAGGATACACCCAGACAGTTCGGGTTTTGAATGCTGTGTTCGGGTTTCATGGCAGCAGAAACCCGGACACATGATGTCAGGCAGACAGGGGCAACCAAAATTAAGATAGGGGCTACTGGCCCCCTACTGAAAATAGTCTCAACTCTGATATTTACATATGAATGGGCAGCGCTATTTACATATGAATTAGCCGCGACTCATTCTCCCCCAAAAAATGTCCGCACATTGCTACAGTGTTCGAGTTTCGCTTGAAGAAAAGGTGGCAACCCTAGTCTTCATGGATCTGGCTTTGTGTGTCATATAGTGTTAAAAACTCAAACACACCTCTCCTCATCGAGTATGAGCTGTGCTGCAGAAACTGTGGTTCCATATGTTAGAACTTCTTGCACAGCCTCACAGAGAAACACAAGCACACAGTCAGATATGCATGCTGCACATGGCTTGAAAAACAGGAAGGAAGCCAAAGCTTTATTCTCTACTTTATTTAATACAACAGAGTATATACCATAGATATAACAGAACTTATAAACACACTGCCATCTAGTGACCGAAATTGTATACTGCAGTACTTATTGCTACAAACACAGTAATGTGTATTCTAACACCATATTAGTTCACTCCTGTTGCATGTGCCTGCAGACAGCTCTTTCCAGCATGAAACTCACAGTGGTAATCCTGCTGTTCTCCCAGCAATCTCGGACATCCATATTGCCACTGACAAAAGCCTTGTTTCACTACCATTTATAAGTGCACAAAGGAAAGTAAGAACTATTATTTTCTTCTTATACCTGTTGTTTTGCTTCAATAAGTTTCCATATTGACTCTGTGGCTACCATCCTGTGAACTGCTTTTTCCAAAGCAACCAACCAGTGGCCAATTAGCATTACTGCATGACTATACTGTGAACTGGTTACTTGTTCTCATTAGCTCCATATTGTGGGCAAATCCATCTATCCACTGGACTTGCATGCACTTTTAATTTGTGCCAGAGGTTTAAACATTTGAGTTGAAAAATACCTGCATATTGTTTTACACAACAATTATTACCTTTGCTAACAAACGTGACTTTGTGTATAGGCAGAATACCATATAGTCACTCGCACTCCGTTAGTAGATAGCAGTCAATCTTCTTTATTGAGTGAACATGATGTCACATACACAAAGCGACGTTTCGGGACCAGACAGTCCCTTCTTCAGGCAAACAACAATGTCTGTTGTTTGCCTGAAGAAGGGACTGCCTGGTCCTGAAACGTTGCTTTGTTTATGTGACATCATGTTCATTTAGTCAATAAAGAAGATTGACTGCTATCTACTAACGGAGTGCGAGTGACTATATGGTATTTTGCATTTGATGTGCGGAGGCATTTGCTGTCCCTTTCGGCAACCCCCAGTTTTCATTTAGGCTTTATCCGGTCAGGAGTGCAATGGGATCTACTACATTTTGATTGTGTATAGTCAGGCCGCAACAGGGAATGGCCTTCCCCAAATTATTGCAACAAAGTTGGAAGTGTACAATTGTCTAAAATGTCTTTGTATACAATAGAGGTAACAGTACCCTTCACTGGGAACACCGGAGCTCAATCATTTGGAGTAGTGTCCACATCCTTCAGACATTTTAGTGTCCCATAATGAAGTTATATAATCTGACTTTCTACTCAACAACTTTACTGATAACACCATGTTCTGTACCTGGAAGATATGTAACATTTTAAACTTTGAAGTGTGGTAATCTCTTCTAATGTCATCATTAAATGTAATCCTAAACAAATACATGTGTTTTTTTGTCAATGCTAGTTGGGTGTTCTCTAATATTTTGAGTAGTAATCACTGAAATGTCTTTCCTTGAGAACGCTAGAAACCTACAAAAGTACACTTGTTTTCACTGCTTCATGTACCTCCCCGTTGGCAGAGATGATGAAAGAAATATTTCCATCAATACCAATTCCATCCAGCTTTTCTTCTTAACTAAATACTCCAACTGACACATCTTTATGGGCTCCTGGCATGTGAGAAACCTGCCACATTTGCCAGTACCTGCAGTTACTTAAAGCTCCAGGATACATAATAAGGAGTCTGAATGTAAGAACCTGAAGATGACATCTGCCAATGGGCTGGTAACTGGTGGCATTGCGGGATGCATGCAGGTTCATTTAGTAGAACAGTACAAACAGGATGATGTTCACAGTGAGGTAACTCATCCTTTCTGCATAATATGATAATCATGCTCTGTCGGAGCCCTCGCTTGGTTGCTGACCTCCCCATATGACTGTGCTCGGGTTTGAGTGGGTAATTGCTGGGCTTGAAAACTGTCACATGGGGGACGAGGGAGCAGTAATGACATCCACTTAGGTATGTTCTAACACCAGAGATTACCCAGTGTGGACTCCGACAATGGGGAGGCAGTAAGGATGCATGGATAGGTCAAGAGCAGTAACTAGCTCCTTTTGGGCCCGAGGCAAGAACAGAAAATTGTGCCCCCCAACAGACATGTCCGGTATGTGACATCATGCGCCCCGCCTCCAGGATGGCGGCACGCATGCGCAGAATGTGCTGGTGGCCAAATCCAAAATAGCATAAAAATGTGTTTCATTTGACGAAACGAATGAAAACATTTTTAGTTTCTGTTCATTTTGTCAAAAACGAATTTTTAGTCTTTGCACATGTCTAGTAATATGTGTGCATGAGTGTGTGTGTGGGGGGAGGGGAGGTGGTTTTTTCTTTACTGTTGGGGGGCTTCGGAGAAATATTAGGGGTCTAAGCAGACCCCTGACATTAAGGTCAGTATACCTTCCTCGGGGAATGGGCTATTAGCAGGCACTGTCACTTTGCCCTAAATTTGCCCTTTCAAATGCTGCCTTCCTTGCCTTCTACTTAGTTGCTGGGAGTAAAGAAAATACATATACCTGGAGAATGGAGAAGCATGTAACTTACTCCATAGGACCATACTAATGCTTGGTGGTTGACACTTAGCTTTGTGTAAGCTCCAACATGAGCAACTCACGGCCCATATTGGGTTCTTTTCCTCACTCCCAGTAGCTGAACAGTGCAGAAGGAAAAGTGAATATGTTCTGCTGGGCAGGAGGATATTAAAGTGACCCTGGTGCTTTGCTGTTCAAGGTTCACTTTAACGTGTAAGGCCACCCAAAACCTTGTGTCTGATTTTGGTTACAGTAAAACAGCAAAAAGTTTTCCTGGCACACTCAGAAAATGTGACAGCCGCGCCAAGCCACCTCTTATAGTGCGGTCCTAACTCTAAACTATCAGAGTCTCCATCTTGGAGCACATGAGGCAGAAGATAAAATTGGGTGCAGGTTTGTCAGGAGGGAGCCCAACTCCCCTTAAAGGCACAGAGACACACAAGGGATCCCGCACATCCCAATGGCAGCTGAGACCCCTCATGCATCACTGCACCAAAAAAGTCAAGCAAAACAGATGACAAACGCACTCATCAATACGTCACCAGCTTTACAGCAAGGTGCACATGGAATGGGCTTTAAACAGTAAAACAGCAAAAAGTTTTCCTGAGACATACACGTCTTCTGCGGAAGACGTGTATCCAAACCTCTGTTTTTAACCTTAGTGTGAGACAAGTTTTTTTACATGTTAGCTTGTGAGTGTGCTGGGAAACTTTTTGCTGTTTTACTGTTTAAAACCCTTCCATGTGCACCTTGCTGTAAAGCTGGTGATGAATTGATGAGTGCGTTTGTCATCTGTTTTGCTTGATTTTGGTTACAGTGTCAAGTTTTTACTGTTGTCTGTGTTCATACAGAAAATGTCTCCTTTCCTTTATCCTGATTGGAGATCTCAATGACCTCACACTCCTGGACACACATTGCTTTCGCTGTCTGAGCTATGCAGGAAAACTGAAATCAACCAATAATACCATATGCACCCTATTGCCATCTGTGCCCCAATAGCGAAATCTCAAATTACATCTTGTCTAACAGAATGACCTGGAAGCGAGAGAAAATCCCTGTCTTGCCACCAGAACAAGTCATCCCATTGGAAAGCTTCTCAATGACAATGAGCACTAGGCTAACTAGAGAGAGTAAGTCTCCCTATAAGGGACACAGCAAAAAAAACTTAGAGGTGTTCTCTGGACAGGCAGGTTACTTCCCTCCAGATGTGAAGTGCTTTGTCTTCTTCCTTTATGAAATGACTATCTTCTACACACACAGGTGCTGGATGAAGAAGAAATGTGCTGAGCAGGTCTGTTAAGGAGTTCTCCAGGTTCAGCCATATCCTAGATTCTGCAGAGTAACATAGAAACATAAAAGAGTGATGGTAGGAAAAGACCAAGTGGTCCGTCAAGTGCCCCTTTCTACGTTTGTTGGGTTTTTCTGTTTGTTTGTTTGTTTTTCTCAATCAATTTTATTAAAAAACATCACATTAACAATAAAATATTATTGATCAAAACATGTAACATACATCTTTTGCACAGATGGCAGTGGGCGGGTGCAATAGCCAGCCTGCTATTGGCTATTGCAATTTAAAATATCCAATAGCAGGCTGGCTATTGCTCCCAGCCACTGCCTGCTGTATATACATTCAGCTGCCTCAGCAGCTGAATCCAGTGAAGTGGAAAGGTGACACTAGGGGTCTAAAAGACCCCTAATGTCACCTTAAAGAGAAAATGTCACCTCCAATGCACGCAGCCCTGGTTAGAAACAGCCCTAAAATCATTTGTCTGTATTGTTTTAGAAAAAACTGTCACATGTCCCTTTAATAAAAAATATCGGTAATTGGTATTGGCAAGTACACGAGGGACAGTACTTGTACTTGGCCTTGAAAAAGTGGTATCGGGACATCCCTAGTGTTGATAGAACCTGTCACAGAAAATTCTAACTGCAATGGCCAGCTGAATGTCTAAGTGATAGTAAAAAAAAAAAAAAGGAGATCTCTGCAGAAAGCGAAGAAAGGACAGATAGGGTGGAAGATAAAGTATGAGTAGATTATAGTTAGAGTAGAGTAGAGTACAACCCTCCGTGGGAGAATAATTGGTCACAGAACAGGGATACCCACAGCAGTGATCTGAATCCCAGATGTTGTGACAGTCACATCAACCCAAGAATGGAGTCTGAAAACTACAGCACTGCCGATTCAGGAAGATCCGACATTGTGCTTATATATAAGGGTCCTTAGTTTGGGAGAGGAGCCAGGGTCTCCAGGTGGATCTGAATTGTACTTCTAAGAGTTGCAGTCAAGTCCTCCATCTGGAAAATGTCATAGGCGGGATACCACAAAGGTAGAGATGCCAGGTTTGTCTGCTTCCAAAGCGGGAGGATACAAGCCCATGCTGCACTGAGGAGGTGTATAGTCCGGGACTTCCTGTACTTGGAGTCAGGTCCATCAGTCAGATGTAAAAGACAGCCAGGTTGTCAAACAAGTCCAGCAAGGTCAATTGTTTACCTACTGCTAAGACTGAGTCCCAAAATGTTTTTAGTCTCGGGCAGGCCCAAAAAACATAGAGCATCATACCTAACGTGCCTGCACATCTCCAGCGGGATGAGGGCACAGTGGGGAAGATCTTATGTTTAAGACCTTTGTTTGCCTTAACATTTTTAAATTCACTTACTGTTTACTGACTCCCAACATTTACTACTGGAAACTAACTGGGTTGGGGACGGAAATGAGCTCTAGTTTAAGGAAAGTATTGACTTTACAGTAATTTAATATACAGACCACACAACCCGAAGCAGTCAACACATGTTGCAATCTCCTTTATGCTAGTCACACACACACTACAGTCTGATTGTACAATCTCCCTGGGATTTTTCCACATCTAGGTACTATGAGGGCTTGCCTGATTACAAATAAATAAATGGCAAAGCTCGAACATTACATATTAGCTGGTAAATCTAAAGGAAATTGTACAATCAGATTTGAAAGCGTGTGACTTGTTCTTAAAGAACTTGAAATTGTAAAATGAGATTGCATAGTTACTGGAATCCTATTGAGCTTTGTGTATTTCTTCCAGATCTGTGCAGTAATCCAGCGTGACACTTTGCCTCTGTGGAGGCGTTTACTGTAATAAGGACCGGTCACTGCTGCCCTCTCTCCTTGTGACTGGTCTTGCCTCCGTCCCTCCTGTAGTTTTCCATAGGCAGCCTGTAGTGAGTGGGGCCTGCTGGGCCCCTCCCACAGCTCTAATCTCTGTACAGGCTATGTACAGAACAATGATGTCAGTGATGGTGAAATATTTGGGTTTACAAAGCCTTTTTGTGCACACAAAGTGAATTTATATTCTTTGTTGCTATTGAGGAATATATTCAAATGAATGTTTTTGTGCCTGGAGTTCAGCTTTAGATATCAAAAGCTTCCATCCACCTTCTAAATTCTCACATTTATTTAAAACTCTAGTATACAATAAAAGAAAAGTAGTGGTGAACAAGGCTGTTCTTAGTTGAAACAATAATTTTTTGGCATATATGGTCTGAATAATAGGGGCACATCACTGGTGTGTGCTTTGCCTCCATACTTTGCTCTATAATGTGTCCTTCTTTCCCATCTCAGAAAGTTGGAGGGTATGAGATTGCTTTTTCAATGGTGAATTGTTGGCTCATGTAATTGATCTTGTTTACTCATGTAATAGATCACGTTTTCAGGAATGTTTCCAATAGATTTAATGAAATTCAGCCTTTTAAATGCCGCCCTTTACCCAAGTCCTTGTAAATTGTGCTGTGCAGAATACAAGTGTCAGTGCATTGTCTGCAAGTTCAGAAAGAAATCCTGGCTCTCCCCACCATCGGAAAGTTAAGCCAGGCGGTCAGGCTGTGTGCTGGGGAGATGTGATGTCTGTGGAAGTCATTGGCTGAGGCAGCTCTGCTGAGAACACACAATGAATGAGGTATAGTGTGGGAGGCAGACTAGCGAAGGCTCGCACCAATGACAGCACAGGCTCAGCACTGTACACGACAGTACAGAAGTGTGAATCAGCAGCTTCGACTTCGTTGTATTAATGATTCACCCACAAGATTATAAAATGTGAGAAGTAAATTTAAATACATTTCATCTTTGTATTTTTCGTGCTGAAAGATAAATAGGGCTGGACAAATCCCAGGAGCCAGGTTGCCAATGCTCCTGAAAAATGACAGCTGGCATCCACCTTTTGATGCTTTAGCTAGTTGTTGTTAATGGAACTGGCTCCCACAATATCCTGCTGGCCCCTGGATTGGACTGACTGGCTCCTGAATACCATTTCTGAATGCAGACCCAGAAAAAGTATGCAGCAAGTGTCAGGACTCCCAATGTGCATACTTATTCCTGTCAGTGACTTTAGATTAGCCTTTAGATTAGGGCGGCACTGATACCGGTTTTTCGGTATCGAGTACCGATATTTGTTTTTTTCTAGCTACTGAAAGCACACCGGCTTCACGCTCCCTTGCAACATTGTGAGGCAGCCTGGCTTCCTGACCAATAAGGTAGCCGGGCAGCACGTCATTACCTGCCACCCGGCTTCCTGGTTGAAGCCAGGCTGCCTTGCAGTGTCACTAGGCAGCATAAAGCCGGCTTCCTAGCCAATCAGGAAGCCAGGAGGCGGATCATGACGTGCTGCCCGGCTTCGTGATTGGTAAGGAAGCCAGGCTGCCTCGCAGTTTCACTAGGCAGCATAAAGCCGGCTTCCTAGCCAATCAGGAAGCCAGGAGGCAGATCATGACGTGCTCCCCGGCTTCCTGATTGGAAGCCGGGAGGCTGGTTTGGCTGTTTTTTCCTGATTGTCTGGGAAGCTGGCTCCAGGCTTCCTCGCGGCACTGCTGATCAAAGGGAATCTCCCTCTGACCGGAAGCTTGGGTATCAGGGTAAGTATCAGAGTACTCGCCCAAATGCTCAGCATCGGCACCAATGGTGCATCCAGGGGCGTAACTAGAAATCACAGGGCCCCATAGCAAAATTTTGTATGCAACCCAGGCGACCTACACGGCATCAGAGGGATGCCCTGGCCGGGCCTCCCTGTGCCTGGGCCCCATAGCGGCCACCTGGGTCGCTATGGCAATTGTTAGGCCACTGGGTGCATCCCTAATTTAAATCAGTATGACAGCCTGGAAACCGGCCTTTTGAAGGTTTTCTTAAAGGTTGTATTCATTTTAATCAGGAAATCCCCTTTCTGCAGATGCAGTTTCCTTGTTATTGAACAAATAGTAGGAGATAGGAGTCAGCATGCACAGTTCAAAGTTTGTTAGGTGTAAAGAAAAGGGAGAAATATGCTACATATATATCTAAAACATGGCTATGGCTTCCCTCTCAAGCCCCTTACAAACAGGCAGTCAGTTCAAATGCGCCTGACAGTTTTTCAGGCGAATCTGATCAGTAGCCCAATGTAACACTATGAGGAGTCTGTACGCACATCTCTTTACATCTGACTACCTCCAAGTCTGTCTACATCCAGAAAAAAAAGGAACAGAGTTCCATTTTGGTGAACCTGATTGTGACGGATCTGAGGTAATTGGATGTAAACAGACATGTCCCCTTACATCGATTGGCCATAGAGCTAATATGGGTCCATACAGCTCAGTTTTTTTTCCTCCATATTATGATGGATGAAAAAACTAGGGATGCACAGATAACGATGCTAGAATTGGTGCCGATACTTACCTCCGATGCCTTGACACTTGACACTCTCCCCTCTCACCTCAAACCCTGCTACCCATAGCACAATACTTTTGCAGGGAAGAATCTGGCTTTTCAGTTTCTTCCAGGTTTTCTGGACTGTAAGGCCCCATTCACACTGCGCGATTCCCAAATCGCGGGTTTCCGTGCCGATTTGCATTTTGGGCAATATCGCGCGATTTGTCACGCGATATCGCGCAAATGCTTGCATTACAAATAATGGAATCGTGGCTAAATCCGCTCCAAAAAGGGTCCTGCTGTAGCGACGCACGACCCGCAACAGCAGGACCCTTTGCCCCACTGAGAAGCATTGGAGAGCGATATCGCGCGGTAAATTGCCGCGATATCGCGGGAATTACCGCGCGATAAATCGCTCAATGTGAACGGGTCTTAACAGTGCTGGACTGATGGAATCTCTAGTCCTGGGGAGAGGTGTTGCCAATGACCGGTCTAGGTTGATCAGCTGGCTGAGAGCAGACTTATTGGGAGTCTGGACAAGAGCTCAGGGGAGTTGTGGGTGTGCAGGAGGCACACGGCCACTGGCAGACACTGGTGAGTGCTGGAAGCACATGTGGAACAGCCGGGGGAGGCTGGGAGAGGTTGAGAGAGTCAGTGACACCCGAGGGAACTGTCGGAGAGACTGAAAGACTGAGAGAGAGTCAGTGAGCCATGAGGGGTGAGCAGAGCGAGTATCACACAGGTGTGTGATGACATGCTTGGAGCTGAGGAAAGCTGCTGAGCGATACTAAGGACTGTATTTGCGGTCCTGGGACTAACACTGGGAGTGTATGGGAAAGCCAGATGTCAGTGAGACACAAACATGTTGTTTTGAAGGAAGTCAATTGAACTGTTTCATTATGCTCAAAGAAAAACTATTATGTGAAGTCAGGGGCGGACCTACCGGTGGTGCAACCTGTGTGGCCATGCCAGGGCCCACTGAGATCCGGTCCCGGGGATTGTAGGCAGGGACAGACTGAGCAAGGGGCCCCTTTAAAATGGCTGCCGCAGTGGCTATCACTCTATTCAGCTCTCTCCTCTCGGCTGCTCTGTGGCTGCAGCAGCCGAGAATAATCTGTTCAGCTGCCACTACTATCTGCCCGCTTCACTGATCGGGCTCCTCAGCGGCCACCTGCAGCTTCCTCTGCCCACTTCAGCTGCTATAGGCTATAGGAGGATAACCGCGGCATCACTATTGGCTGGCTGTATAGTACAGGAGAGCGGGTCCTGGGGAGAAGGCACAACGAGGCGGCTGCAAGCTTCATCTTAAGAGATGCTGGAAATATGGCTGTACCTCTCCCCCCCCCCCACCACCACCACCTGTAGAGAAAGAGGGCATAGCACCTGAATCAGATTAACTGTATGTCCATGTTCTATCTGCATTACACTGCTGACCTCTGTACTGTGTGTCACACCGCTAACCTCTGTACTGTGCTTCACACCGCTGACCTCTGTACTGTGTGTCACACCGCTAACCTCTGTACTGTGCGTCACACCGCTGACCTCTGTACTGTGTGTCACACCGCTAACCTCTGTACTGTGCGTCACACCGCTGACCTCTGTACCTCAGAAATGTAATTATTTAAATTGATTTAGCTGCGTTAGGTCCTGTAGAATGTGCTCTGATTTGGGGGTGCCTTAAATTACTGATGAACAACCGAATCTTAAATAAGTGTCGGGTTTATTTACAAATAGGGATATACATACATATTACAATTAAGGGAATTTGAAAGGGGAATTGGGGATAGGAATTGAGGTTAAGGATCCTACAGCTAGCTACACCATTCTCTCTCTCTCATTCACACAAGCCATGGGTTTTTCTCTGTTCTTCGGACACGCCTCTCCAGCAGGTCTCAGCGAATCACATTCTTGATTGCAGAGTTCAGAAAGACTTGTCTTGTCCAAAGGTCTTGCTTGTCAGCTAGGTTAGTGTCACACAGGAAGAAGGTTCCATCACATGCCCCTGCCCCCATCCCAGCATATATGCCTTGCTGACACAGGTGAGGGCAGTAAATACCAGCAGGGGGTCGGGCTTGCCCCAGGACATGACAGTCCAGCAGATCTCCTTTGATCAGTGTCCAGCCCCAAGAACCCTTTGATGGTCTTCATTTGCATATCAAACAGCAACGGGCAGCTCACGATATTAAGGAACCTTTCCATCAAAGATGTATCATAGATGTCAATTATTTTAGCTTCCAACAGGTCCTGAGCAGCAGCCTTCTGTGAAACCATGCGGCTCCTGCTTACAGCGCTTCAGCCGCCCACACATCTCCCCCTCCTGAGGCCCTCCGCACCCCTCCTGAGACCCTCTGCCCAAGACTTCAGGCCGGCACCCCAGAGCAGAGCGGCAGCACAGAGTATGTACCAAATTCATATACTATTATTCTGCATTGCTGTATAATTTATTCCTGGGATTTATAGTTCTCTATAGATGATGGCTTTCTGTATTAGAGTGTAAGCTCCTCTGTACAGAGACCGATGTGACTGGTTCAGTGTTCTCTGTACAGTACTACGGTAAGGTCGGCTTAGAACTATGATTTGAGTGGAAATCACTAATCTCATAGTTCTCCTTTACAATGATTGTTCCATCATTTTTAAATATCCCCGCATCGTTCTTATATAATTTTTTTTCTGTTGTCCTCAATGTGGACAATTAGATGCAGACTTGCACCATGTGTCCTGGGCATTCCCCAAGATCAAACAATTATGGACCGCAGTAGTATGATATACCACTGCACATCTGGATAATTACTTACCTTTAATTCCAGAATGGCCACTTATCACCATAATATACAGTATTGTGCAAAACGTTTAAGCAGATATGAAACCATGCTGTAAAGTAAGAATGCTTTCAGAAATAAAAGTGTTAATAGATTAGTTTTATCAATTAACAGAATGGAAAGTAAATGAACAAAAAAGAAATCCAAATCAATATTTGCTGTGACCACCCTTTGCCTTCAATACAGCACCAATTCTTCCAGGTACACTTGCACACAGTTTTTGAAGGAACTCAGCAGGTAGGTTGTTCCAAACATCTTGGAGAACTAACCATAGATCTTCTATGGATGTTGGCTGCCTCAAATCCTTCTGTCTCTTCATGTAATCCCAGACAGACGCCATGATGTTGAAATCCGAGCTCAGCGGGGGCCAAACCATCACTTCCAGGACTCCTTGTTCTTCTTTATGCTGAAGATAGTTCTTAATGACATCACCTGTATGTTTGGGGTCGTTGTCCTTCTGCATAATAAATTTGGAGCCAATCACACGCCTCCCTGATGGTATGGCATGATGGATAAGTATCTACTTGTATTTCTCAGCATTGTGGACACCATTGATCCTGACCAAATCCCCAACTACATTGGCAGAAATGCAGCCCCAGACTTGCAAGGAACCTTCACCATGCTTCACTGTTGCTGAAGACGCTCATTATTGCACCGCTTGCCAGCCCTTCGATGATCAAACTGCCTCCAGCTCCAGCCTAAAACTTTTGCACAGTACTGTGTACATACACCTGGCACAAGTACCTCCTAAAGTGTATAAATAACTCATTTCTCTTGGAGGCAAAACACTCATTTTATAAAGTGGTTCAGCTATGCCCTCCCTCTATTTCTTGGCTCATAGAAAGTTAACAGCTGTGTTCTGCATGGAATTGCTGGAGGCCTCTCTAAACAAAAAAAAACCTACATCAAAAAAACATTTTCTGACATGTGGGGAAACTTTATCCAAACCCTATCTACTGATACCCAACAATGGATAGTACAATGTTTTTACTATGCTCATTGGTATCCATTTAGAATGTTTACCAATGACCCTTCAATTGAAGCTCAATCTCCTGCACAGACT